TGCCGTGGCTTTTCGCGATGTAATTGTGGTTTCGCGCCGTCGGATTTCAGGGGGCAGTGGGTGTGGGCACTCTCCTGCCCTGCGGGTCGCGAGCCGCTGCCCGCATCCACCGCTCCCCGAGGCGCGCCAGCCCAGCCACGGCCCCAGCGCGGTGGACCTTAGGCGGACGAAGAGCGGGTGAACCGATCATTTCTTTCGCCGTCTGGGACGTCTGCCCCACGGCGGCTGGAAAGTTTATTATTTACCCCGACATGCCACCGCAGGGGTATAAAAACCGTCCAGCCGCCCTGGGGGCAGTCGTCCCCGACGGCTGAGCAATTTGTTTTGTGCCGTCTTGCCATCGAGAACAAAAGAGCCCCTAACCCGAATAACACGATGAAGACGTGGCCTCACTGAGGTGCCCGTCTTTGCATTAGGGATACAAATCTGGGCGGCTTGGTTCGATACATCTGCAGAGAAGACCCCCTTCATGTCCTTGGCCCCCCTAAGTCAGGTCCCCTCCACAAAAGACAGGGGTACATTTTTTGTCGAATCCGAATCGTCTTTCGTCCCCCGAGACGTGGACGTGTCCCGGCGGTGGAGGCACCTGGGCTGGTGCAGCGGGGGGCCCCGCACCTCGGCTCAGCTGGCCTCCGTGCCCGGCGGCGAGCTGGCCGCGGAGGCCGTGGCGGCTGCCGGGCTGGCCTTCACGGCCTTCATCGCCGTGGACCTCGTGCTGTCCGTGCTCCACGGCTACGCCACGCTCGACCACGTCGTGCACCACGTGGCCTTCGTCACCGCCGGGCTCATCATCCGCTGGCACTGCATGCTGCCCTTCAACGCGGCGGCGCTCCTGTCGATGGAGGTGTCGACGCCGTTCCTCAACCTCGCGCTGCTGTACCGCCACAGGGGGCAGGAGTTCGCGCTCCCAGTGAAGGCGGCGGGGGTGCTCTTCTCGGGGGCGTCCGAGAGGGGGGCGAGGACTCATGTGTGTGTGTGTGTCTGGAACTCATGGCCGGGGCCATGGCGCCTCACAGGTTTCATGGCACCCCGGTTCTTCTTTCGCTACGTCCCCTGGGCGCCCCCCCGCTTCGCGCACGTGCCCCGTGCCATAATGGGCTGACACCCCCCTGTTCCTGAGCCCCCCCTTCGGCGCACCCGGTCTTCGTGGCCCTCTACGTGGTCTTCCGCCTCGGCGTCAACTCGTACGCCACCCTCGTTCTCTGGCTGCACCGCGACATGGCGATCCCCCCCGCGGTCGGTCGGCCCCCCCCGGGGCGCCAGGGGGGGCGGGGGGGCGGGGCCCAAGAGGCCAGAGCCAGAGAACGCCCGAGTGTCTGATGCGAGTCTCCAGGAGCTCCTGCGAGCAGGGTCGTCGGAGGGAGGCCGGCCGAGACAACGGCGGCCCTCCCTGGCGTTGTCCTGCCACTTTGGGCCTCCCGGAGGCCTCTCGTTGTCATTGCTGCAGCCGCCTCGAGGAACGAATCAGCATGGAGCCTGGGCGGGGTCAGGGGACCGATCTTGAGCAGAGTCAGAGCCGGCGGGAGAGCCGCTGTTGTGTTAGCTGGGCCGGGGCAGGTGGTTGGGCGGGCTGGGGGGGGGGGCGGGGGCAGGGCAGGCAGCGCGGGCGGTGGCCGCAGCAAGACGAGCTCGGGCCAGCGCCACAGCCAGTCTGCCCCGCTGGCCCAGGGCCCCGGACAGACCGCCGCTCTCGAGAGAGGGGCAGCAGGAGAGCCCACCGTTTCCGACTGCCTTTCCCGCGCGATCCGACGGCGTGGCTGGTTGCAGGCCGCGGCCCTAGCGGTCTCGACCACTTGCGCCCAGGGGTCGCTTGTCCTCCCGGATCCGCTTGGGATGGGCCCCTCTGGGCCCGAGGACGGGGCCCAGGGGGGCCGACTCCCCACATGGGGTCCGAGCAGGTGGGGTCGGACCTCGCTGGGGCGACGCGAGAAACGGGGCCGTCTGCGCCGACATTGGCGCGTGAGCTGCCCGCGCAAGGTCGCGCGTGAGCGCCCTCGTCTCCAGAGTGGCGTGCCGCGCGCGGCGGCCCGCGCAAGCCACGGCGCAAGGTCGCTGTGCCATCTCGCGCGAGGCCCGCTGCTGATCGTCGCCCCTTTTGGGAGGCCTCCATGCACCCGGCCCCCTCTGCCCCCCCCCCCTCGGGGGCGCGACGAGGCCAGGCCCCGCGGCGTGAGGCCCCACGGGCAGGGACCGGGGGGGCCCGAGGGCGGTGCGGCAGGAGGCTCGTGCCGTGGCGACGTGGCGGCGAGCCCAGCGCGGGCGTTCCAGGTGGAACGCCGCCGGTGGCCCGGCGTCGGCCGACACGGAGCGATCGGCGCGATCGGGAAGCCGTCGTCGCTCGAGGCCGAGGGGTCCACGAGGCGCGAGGCGCCGGAGACCAGCGCCGACGCCCTCGCGACGCGAGCCTGCCGCACCGGAGCTGCCCGCGGCCTCCCCGCCCTCGCGGGCCCCGGCCCACCGACCGCGGCGATACCCCCCAGCGTCCCCGAGTGGCAGGGCGCCTTCCTCCTCGCCGCCGTGGCGGCCGGCGTGGCGGTGCAGCTCTTCTGGCTGCCGCGGATCGTCCAGAGCTTCGCCTCGGGCCTCGGCCGCCGGGCGGCCGAGGCCGAGCCCGGCAGCAGCACCGACGACTGCGAGGCGGGCCAGGCCGGCAAGGACCGCCCTCGGCCCTCGGCCAGCTTCGGCTGCGCGCTCCACCGAGCGCGTGCCACTGCTCGCAGGGTGCCTGCTCGCAAACGTCCGAGGAACACGTGCCTGCTGCGGTGTGATTCATCGCAGATCCCCCGCGGCGGATCCAGGCCATCTGCGAGCAGTTTTCTTGCGAGTAGTGGAACGCGCTCGTCTAGCGTCGACGACGGCGCCCAGTGGCGACGGCCGCGAGCGACGGCGGCGCCGCCGCGAGCCCCGCCGGTCACCGAGGGCCGCCGAGGGCCGTCGAGGGTCGGCGGCGGCGTCGTCGGCGGCGTCAACGTGCAGCTGCACGTTGACCTGGGCGGCGTCCAAGAGGGGGGGGATGGAGAGGGGGGGGGATGGGGGGCATCCAAGAAGGAGGGGTCTAAGAGGGGGGGGGATGAGGACTACAGGTCTGAGTGTGTGTGTGTGTGTGTGCGTGTGTGAGTGTATGTTTGTGTGTGAGAGTGTGTGTGTGTGTCTAGGCCTCCTAGATGGGACCGGAGTAGAGGGGGTCGGAGGATTTCGCCGCATCGCCGATGCATCGGCGGTGCATCAGTGATGCGGCTCGATGTGGGGTCCGCTTTTTTCAACGCCAACGTCGCCAGTGCATGGCCGGTGCATGGCCGATGCACCGGCGATGCATCGCCGGTGTATCGGCGGTGCCGCGAGATCCGCCGACCCCATCTACTCGGACCCCATCTAGGAGGACTCTAGTGTGTCCGATTGTGTGTGTGTGTGTGTGCGTGTGTGTGTGTGTGTGTGTGTGTGTGTGCGTGTGTGTGTGCGTGTTTGCTGTTCTCTCTCGGGCCGTCCAGCTGGGCGCTGATGCTGGTCGCACTGCGCCCGCCTTTGCCGCCGCGTTGCTGCATGCGCCTCGCTGTCGTGCGCCTTTTTTCTGCACGCGCAGGCCTTCTGCGGTTGCCCACAATCGACGCACTCTCGGTGGTCATCCGCTAAGCACAAACTGCTAATGCCCTCGCTGAATTGGACCAGTTGACCGCAAAATAAATGTGTGTGTGTGTTTCTGTATTTCAAGCTGTATGAGGGCTCGGCCTTTAGACGCGCGTGCGCGCCCGCTGCTTTGACCTTTCTACGCCCTGCCGCTGTGCGCGGGGCCGCAACGCCAAAAGTGTGTGTGTGAGAGAGAGGGAGTGTGTATTTGTGTGTTTGTTTGTGTGTGTGTGTGTGTGTGTCCAAATTTGTCCTCTAACCTGGGTGGCTGCCATGGCCGCTTCCCTTCTGCGCGTCGCTTGCTACTTCGGCTTCGCACCGTCGCACTGTTTCGTCTCCCCCCTCTTTTCCCCTCTTTTCCTCTTTCCCCCGTCCATCCTCTCACGGCTGCCCCCCCGTGAGTGTTGCTGTCGACCCCTCTGGGTGGATCCAGCTTCTCCTCGCAGCGAGAGCGGTGCCGGTGTGCGCTCGCGGGAATTGTTCTACGCCACCGCCTCCGCGCGCGTGGCCGCGATGCCAACGTGTGTGAGTGTGTGTGTGTGCGTGTGTGTGTGTGTGTGTGTGTGTGTGTGTTTGTGTGCGGACCTGCATGCGAGTCGCCTTGAGTCGTCCACCCACCTCCAACGTCATATGGAATTGGCGCTGAGCGTGGCTCGCATTAGTTTTCGCAGCAGTGACGTCACTCGACCGCTGGATGAAGGACATTTTTTTCTTTATGTGTGTGTGTGGATATCACGCTTGAGGCCACGACATCTCATAGATTTCACGACTTCTTATTCTTCTTCTTCTTTTTCTTTTTCTTCTTATTTTTATTTTTCTATCAACGCACCCTGTGCCGCATTCTCCGTCCGCGCACATGTCTCGGGGCCTGATGCGCACCCCCCCGTCATCCTGGCGTCCCCTCCGCGCACCCGATGGCCCTTCGCCGCAGTGGCCTGTGGTGCGCGGCTTTCCGATGGCGTTGGTGGGGGCTCCCGGCACTCCCCCTGCTGCCTCCTGCCTCCGTGGACAGCAGGCCCGCTCGGGCCCCACACCGCCCAGGCAACGGCCACAGTTCTGGGCCTTCTCGCTAACCCCGAGAACCGCAGCCGATCACGTCTCCCTCCTCGTCCTCCTCCTCCTCCTCCTCTTCCCTCTTCTCCTTCCCTCGTCCCTCCTGTCTCCTCCCTCTCCTCCTGCTCCTGCTCCTCCTCCTTCTCCTCCTTTTTCTCCTCTCTCTTTCTCCACCCTCTGAGGCAGCAGCTCGCCCGTCGAGGCACATCTGTGCACATTGTACGATGAGATTGCGGGATGGCTCTTGATATACTTAAGTGGTTCTTACGATCGCATCGAGTCGGACCTGCCAGGATTCATTGGATTACCCTTAGGATACCCACCAGTGGTGTTGTACATGTTGCCGTCACAATGCGTGGCAGCCAGGACACTGGAACACTCTGGGGCGGTGTGTGGCCCGTTCTTTGTGGACCGCATTCTGATCCAAGGATTTGGAGGAAGGACTGGATTCGCCAGGTGTATGTTTCATTATGTTATTGCCAAAATGTCAAGGAGCCGCCCAGCCCTGACTTATGGCAATGGATCTCAGGATCCAGGAAGGCAGTCGTCAAATCAGTTCCTGCAGATTTTGCTGATATGTAAGAACTATATTTATGTGTGTTGGTATATATCGGGTTTTCAACATGGAATCTTGACGTGTCATTTGGTTCGCTTGCCATAGGACATTGCCAATCGGTGGAGGGCCGATTTTCTCATCATCCGAAATTGGATTGCGCGGCTCATACCTTGGCATCGAACAAGGACGAGGATGCAAACAGCGAGGAACACGAGAGCCAAACGCGTGGCTAAACATGGCCGTGCGCAAAAAAAACTATTCGCTTCGCGAGAGCATCCCTGCAGTATTCGGTGGCATCCCGTCTTGAACGGTGTGGTCCCCTTGCAATTGAGAGCTACAGCCATGGGATCCACGGAGCTTTCGGGGCTCATGGTATGTAGGTTCGCAGAAGTTTTCGGCCATAGGGCCAGGAGGCAACAGCGCATGTTTGGCAACCATGATGGCCATCAAGACTCCAGGACACGATCCAGGGTTGCAGTGAAAGCACGAATGCGTGCACCTATGGCTGCAGCATTGGTTCGGGTAACCAACGATGCGGCCGAGGATTCATCGAGCATGGGATACAGTTGTTCAACATATGCAAGCGCCCGTTCCAGCTCCAATGTCAAGGTGGGCCAGCGGCTCCATAATGGCAGTCGTCCTTCACCTGCTGGAGCCAGGCTGGGGCCCCAAATCGCCAGGGTGGGCCGACGGTGCGGAGTGGCAGTTCCGTGCTCGGACATTTCAGCGCTCAACTCCACAAAGTTGTTCTTCCAGGATTTCGATCGCACATAGGATGAGTTATTGTAGACGAGGGTGAAGAGGCATCTCTGTGGAGGAGGGTTTGGCCAAAGGATCGATGTCGTTTCGTTGTTGCAGTTGACCCAAAACCTGGAGCAGTTGCCGCGAGGAAGGAGGCTGTCAGAGTTGATGGTTTTTGTCGCAGTTGGTGTAACATGGCCTCGTCAAAGAAGGTTGGACTTCAGCGGAGGTCGCCACAATTGCCCTAAATTCAGCACAAACATAATCACCACATCAGTGTGTATGGGGATGCGAGTGCAACGCTGGGCGTCCAATCAGTTCCAAGTCCGACGAATGGTTCCCGATGGCCATGGCTGGGGATGGGGATGAGCAAGGTATCTGGCTGCGAGGTCTTATGCCACAGGCGCGGGCGGCAGTTTCCGAACCACCAGATGAGGAGGAATGGTTTGCCTCGGGCTTCAACGATGGAGTGGATGATGGGTGCTGTCTTACGGTCATGGACAACCGCGTTTCGTCGTGGCAGGGGATGCCAGTAGGGGCGAGGGTTCCAGGGGCTCCAGGTTCAGAAGAGTTGGCATTGGGCATGGCGTTTTGATTCCGGATTGCATTTGGTTCTGTCTTGGACCGGAGCGTTTCCAAGTGTGTTTCAGTCGGTCCCTTGGGGGGAGCTGTGAGTGGCTCTCTGGCTGGCTCCCATTTTGAAAACGTTTGCGACTGAAGATTAGATGGTGCGTGGCGGGGTGCATCCTAAGAGATGGTGCGTGGCGGGGTGCATCCTAAGATATTTTTCTCACACGCGGGCGAGCGCTGTGATTTGTGGGCTCAGGTCGTCAGGAAGACAGGGCAGGTCACCGTCCTGTTTGTGAGCTCCCATCTCGAGGTCTGTGACATTGAGGGTGGCAGGGGAGAAGGTTGGTTCGCGCGGGCGGATGCTGCTGCGGGAATTCTCGCGGATGCAGGTGCTAAGATGCGCGGGGTGCTAGCCGAGCTTCGAAACGAGGCGTTGGGGATCCAGGCGCAGCCGTTTGCGATCGGGCCCGGAATCTTGCGTTCGATCGAGGATGCGTTGAAGCTGGATGGCCGATGGGAGTTTCGGACGTTGCGAGGAAAACGGTGGAAGGTGGGCGCGAGAGCGAGCGGCGGTGGCGAACATCGAGAGAGCGCTGTCGGCCGCTGCTGGCCGAGGGTTGCGCGCGGGGTGGGGGGCGCGCCCCTCCCAGAAAAATGCCCTGCGGCGTGCCCAACCCTTGGTACTAAGTGGCAAGAGTGGTTTGACCAGCACAGCATGGCTGGTGACACGGAAGGATCTGCCACCGTTTGTGCAAGCTCTATGTGGAGCGCGCGCGTTGCGCGATTCACAGGACAGCAACTGAAGGATGAGGTCTGGGGCCCCAGTCTCGAAGAGGAGATGCGGTCAGAACGGGGGGCGGGAGAAGGGCGAAACAGGGGCCGACAAGTTCGCGCGACACCGGCGACGAGACGGTGAAACATGATCGACCCACGAACCCGGAAAGGAATGTAGAACTGTAACACATGGCAGCGTTTTCAAAGACACCTGATTGGGTGACGGGCAAATGCAATACTGAAGGTATCGATCTTGATGTACCCTGCCGAGGGCTGTGCTGTGCTGCGCCGTGCTGAATTGCGATGTGCCATGGCGCGACTGTGCTCTATAGCCTCGTGGATCGAGTCCTCCTTTGCATCCGAGTCCTGACCGAACTGATCTGGATCTTAAGCTCGAGCTGCCTGAACACATAGTAGCTGCCCCAGAGCTAATGGACAGGGGAACATGCCAGGAGGACGCGCCGCGAAACGTCCCAAGGGATGCGCCAGGCGACGTGCCAGGGGACGTGCCATGGGGTCGCACCGCGGGACGTGCCAAGGGGACGCGCTACGGAACGTGCCAATGGATGTGCCACGGGATGTGCCAGGGGACGCGCGACGCGACGTGCCAGGGGGACTCGCCAAAGGACGCCCCACGGAACGTGCCAAGGAACGTGCCAAGTTGCAATGCTGAGTGCATCGACCTTGATGTACCGTGCCGAAATCAGTGCTGTGCTGCGCCGTGCTGAATTGCGATGTGCCATGGCGCGATTGTGCTCTATAGCCTCGTGGATCGAGTCCTCCTTTGCATCCGAGTCCTGACCGAACTGATCTGGATCTTAAGCTCGAGCTGCCTGAACACATAGTAGCTGCCCCAGAGCTAATGGACAGGGGAACATGCCAGGAGGACGCGACGCAGAACGTCTCAAGGGACGCGCCAAGCGACGTGCCAAGGGACGTGCCATGGGGACGCATCGCGGGACCTGCCAAGGGGACGCGCTACGGAACGTGCTGGGGACAAGCGTTTCGCTCGAGACATCCTGTCAAAATCATCTGAATTCCTACGCGCGGGACGCTGCACGCGCGAGACATCCTCGGAATTCCTGCGAGCGGGACGTGAAAACAAGCATTTCGCCTGAGACATCCTTTGAATTCTGGCCCCCCACGAGGCCACCGCTCGAGACATCCTCCAATTTTGCAAAACCAGCGTTTCGCTCGAGACATCCTCAACAAATTATGAAAAACAAGCGTTTCGCTCGAGACATCCTGTCAAAATCCCAAGAAATCCAAATACCCGCGCGCGGGACGCGGCACGCGCGAGACATCCTTGGAATTCCTGCGCGAGGGGCGCTTTTCCGTGTCGCGGTCGGCTCTGCAAAACCAGCGTGTCGCTCGAGACATCCTCAACAAATTCTGAAACCAAGCGTTTCGCTCGAGACATCCCCAACTCTGCAAAACCAGCGTCTCGCTCGAGACATCCTCAACAAATTCGGAAAAACAAGCGTTTCGCTAGGGACATCCTCAATTTTTAATTCGCCGGCCCTCTTCCCACTCGTTATTTATCGCAAAAGAAATTCGCCGGCCCTCTTCCCGTCAAACCCGGGGGGAAACCATCTAAAAGAGAACCCTGGGCTTATGCCCTTTCCGGGAAAAAGGAAGAGGACGACAACAGAAGAGGCAGGATGAGGATGGGGGTGACGATTTTTTCAAGTGGCACGCTGGACAAGCTGCGCGGCCCGTGCCATGTCGCCCTGGCGCTCCAGAAGATCAGCTGCCCATAGCTAGTGCAAGAAGTGAGCGAGGCCGAGCTCGCCCGCGAGCTTCCCCGCTTTCTTTGCGAGAGCTAAACGCCCGCGGGTGCGCCTCCAGGTCTCTGGGCGGCCCGCGAGAAGAGGGCACAAAAGGTTCCATTTGAGTCCGTGCGGGACGTCGCCGTGCTGGGCCCCTAGCAGCCTTCGAAAGTGTCGCAGTTTCGAAGTTCGCGGCTCCCCAGGGATCATCAGGTCTAATCGGAATCTGCGTAGGACGTCATTCTGCAGGGCCCCCTAGCAGCCGTCGAACGCGGCGACAGTTTCGTAGATCGCAGACCCCCAGGGATGGTCGTCCGTCGTGTTCGCCGTCTTCGTCGTCGTCGTCGTCGTCGTCGTCGTCGTCGTCGTCGTCGTCGTTTGCTGTCGTCGTCGTCGTCGTCGTCGTCGTCGTCCGTTGTCGTCGGCGGCGTCGTCGTGTTCGTCGTCGTGTTCGTCGTCGTCGTCGTCGTCGCCCGCGTCGTTTGCTGTCGTCGTCGTGTTCGTCGTCGTCGTCGTCTTCGTCGTCGTCGTCGTCGTCGTCGTCGTCGTCGTCGTTGTGGGGGTGGTGGTGATGGTGGTGGTGGTGGTGGGTTGGTGTGGGGTGGGGCTCGGACCCCTCGGATATTTTTTATATGGTTTTCTCGGGGGGGGGGGGGTTGTGGGGCCTCCCGGGGCGGGTGGTGCGAGTGGGGGTCCTGGACCCTTCCGAGTAATTTTGGGGGGGTTTGGCGTGGGACGTTGGGGGGGGAAGGGTGAGGGGGAGCCCCTGGTTTCTGATCCCCCCCGAGGATTTTCTCACTGCGGGGGGGGCGGGGGTTCTAACCTCCCTGTATCGAACTTTTTCATGCCAGCGACGGTGGATCGCGCTCCCCCCTCGAAAATCGGAGGGTTGGCTTGTCTCCCCTCCCCCTGCGCCTCCTTTTCAACTTCGATGGATGCTGATTATTTGTCGAAGCGGAGCATGCCCTTGATGAGTCTGGCCGTCCTTGTCGGCGTTGTCGCAGGTGGCGCATGTCACCGTGCTTCCGTCTTGTGACTCTAGGCTGCTCCCCTCGGGCACCCCCAGGGGCTTCGATTCACCTTGCTGGGGATTTCGCGCACCCCCCCACCGCATGATATTTCGCTGAGATGTGAATGTTTGGTTTTGTGCTTCCTGTGGCGTTCGCAGATGCAGTCAGGTCATGGGGAGGCGTGTTGTGGCAAAACCACCCTGGCCCGTCAGGGATATTTGAGGCGAGTTGCCTCGGGGAATTGACCCAATACTTACAGTAAGAAGGCATTTAACCGTCAGGCTCAGGAGCTGTCTGGCAATAGGTGCTGGTTGGAATTAGTCTCGGGACTCCAACTTCATATCCCTCCTCCGTCCTCCCTCCTCTCTCGTCCCTCCTCCTTCCTCCCTCTCCTCCTCCTCTTTCCCTTCCCTCGTTCTTCCTCGTCCCTCTTCCACTCCGTTTCCTTATACTTAATTTCTCCCTTTCGCACCCCGAGGCCAGTTTTTAGGGCGGGTTGGGCGTTTCGCTTGGGACTTCCTCACCATTTATGACACTGAAACTTAACATGTGACAGCCGTTTCACATACGGAGGGCGGATGGTTTTCAAAATGTGGCTCTCGCCTCAGCGTTGTGCACATTCGTTTTAAACATTTGCATAAGTCTCACAGACTGAGGGCAGGTGGTTTTCAACATGTAGCTCTCGCTTTAGCGCCGCGCACATTCGTTGTACGCATTTGCAAGAGTTACACGGGTTGAGGGCTGTTGGTATTCAACATGTGGCTCTCTTTCTAGCGCCGCGCACATTCGTTCTTCACATTCACGGATTGAGGGCGGTTGGTTTTCAAATTGTGGGTCTCGCTTTAGCGCCGCGTGCATTCGTTTTGACCATTTGCAAGAGCTTCACGGATTGAGGGCGTGTGGTTTTCAGAATGTGGCTCTCGCCTTAGCGCCGCGCACACTCGTTTCAAACATTTGCAAAAGTTTGATGAATCTCCACGGTCAACGTACCAGAAGTGGTGTTTTGGAAGGATTCAGGATAATAAGGGTGCAACAGTTACGTTGGTCCGCCGTGCTAAAGTCCCAGGAATGGCGTTCTGGCACGATTCAGGATCGCCAAGGCGCAACAGTCAGGATGATCCGTGGCGTTGGAATCCCGAGCACAATGTTTTGGCATGCTTTTGGGTATTCCAGCGGATGTCTTCCAACGAGGCAATTTTTTCAGTGGGAATGAACCGATGTAGGGGCCTATGAAGGGGGAGCTTGGAGGGAGGGTTTATCCCAACATCGTTGATGACTTTTGGGGTGTACACAGGTCCTCTTCCTCCTCCTCCTCCTCCTCCTCCTTCTCCTCCTCCTCCTCCTCGTCCTCCTCCTCGTGAGACCCTGAGACACTGATGACATGAAGGTCGCCCGGACGTTGCCACCCCTCCTCCTCCTCCTCCTCCTCCTCCTCCTCCTCCTCCTCCTCCTCCTCCTCCTCCTCCTCCCCTCTCACTCCCGTCCCTCCCACCCTCGCTCTCTCCCTCCCTCCCTCCCTCCCTCCCTCCCTCCCCCTCCCTCCACTTCTCCTTCCCCCTCTTTCCCTCCCTCCCTCCCTCCCCCCCCCCCCTTCCGCCTGCTGGAGGGCGAGTTGATGGGCGAGGGCCTCTGAGGCGAGGGCGAGGGGCGCGCTGCTGGGCGGTCGCGGGCGCCCTTCCGCCTGCCCACCGCGCGCCCCGTGCACGCGCTCGCGCCTCCGCGTGCTGAGGGCCCGCGGCGGCGGCCGCCCGTGTCCTCAGACATCGGGGGGGGGGGATGGGTATCCCACATGTCGTACAGTCAGCCCGCAGAGTAAGGACGGGCAACCTTCCCAAGGGTGCGCTTGCATCCTTGCCCCTTCGGTCCATCCTTAGCGACTTTCGCTGGCCAGCCTCGTTTGAAAAAACGTTCACAGGGCCCTCCAAGGCCCTTGCATCCTTACCGCGCATCCTTATGATACGGGTTGACTGTAATAAAAGGGGCTTGCTCGGAGCCTCTCGGGGCCTCCTGGAGGCCTCTTGGGGGCCCCTCGGTTCCTCCTGGGAGCCTCTCGGGGCCGAGGGCTCGAAGCGTCCGTCCTGGTCCCTGGTCTGGGCACCCTCTGGGAGCCGTCCTGGTGCCCTCTTGGGCCGTCTTGGAGGCGTCTTGGGCCCTGGGATCTGTGCGTTTCTGTTCCTGCGCCCCTGCCGGGCTCCTTCCGTGAAGCAGGCGTGGGGCTCTCGCGTGCGGCTGCCGCCCGAGGCGCGGGCCCTGGGCGACGAGAGGGGGCCTTGCCCTCTGCGAGGGGAGGCGCGCCTGGCCTGCCCAGAGAGAGGCCCTCCCCCCCCCGGGGAGCCTCCTCTCCGAGGGGGGCGACGCGTCCCTTCGGAGAGGCCCCCCGATCCTCCCTCATTCAGCTCATCCTCCAACCTTTATTCTTCTTCTTCTTCCTCCTCCTCCTCCTCCACCTCCTCCTCCTCCCCTTCCTCGTCCTCCTCCCTCTCCCTCCTCCTTCTCCTCCTCCTCCTCCTCCTCCTCCTCCTCCTCCTCCTCCTGCTCCTCCTCCTGCTGCACCTCCTCTTCCTCCTTCTCCCCTTCCTCCTCCTCCTCCTGCTCCTCCTGCTCCTCCTCCTCCTCTCCTCCTCCTCCTCCTCCTCCTCCTCCTCCTCCTGCTCCTCCTCTCCTCCCTCCTCCTCTCCTCCTCCCTCCTTCTCCTCCTCCTCCTCCTCCTCCTCCTCCTCCTCCTCCTCCTCCTCCTCCTCCTCCTCCTCCTCCTCCTCCTCTCCTCCTCCTCCTCCTCCTCCTCCTCCTCCTCCTCCTCCTCCTCCTCCTCCTCCTCCTCCTCCTCCTCCCCCCCCTCCTCCTCCTCCTCCTCCTCCCTCCTCCTCCTCCTCCTCCTCCTCCTCCTCCTCCTCCTCCTCCTCCTCCCCTCCTCCTCCTCCTCCACTCCTCCTCCTCCTCCTCCTCCTCCTCCTCCTCCCTCCTCCCCCCTCCTCTCTTTCCTCACCTCCTCCTCCTCCTCCTCTTCCTCCTTCCCCCCTTCCTCTTCCCTTTTCGGCTGCGAGCGAGGGGGGAAAATGAGAAGGAGAAGGCCTTCTCAGAAGGCGGCGGGGCTTCTCAGAAGCCCTCGCGCCTTCTGACAGTTTTTTTTGTGTTTTCGGGGGAGGCTTAGAAGACTTCTCAGAAGGCCGGGAGACTTCTGAGCCTTCTGATAAGGGCCGCCCCTTCTCACTTCCCCCCCTCGCTCGCCGCCGACCCTTGGCCTCAAGTCGGGCGTGTCCATCTACAGGAGGGCAATTCAGGAATAGTCAGAGAGTAGCCTGGGGGCGATGTTTCGACTATCTTTCTTCTCTATTTTCGAGTATTTCTTGACTGTTTTTGGTTTCCTTTCAAGAGCCGCCTGTAGGAGGACGTGCCCGGCCTAACCTTTGCCCTCTCCGAGGCCCCGCCTGCCTTGGCCCTGCCTCCCCGCCCGCGCGCCGCCAGCGCCTGCCCCTCCCGCCGGGCGAGGGGGCACCCACCCGCCCGCCGCCGGGGCCCCGCCCCTCCGGAGGGGGGCCCTTCCTCAAGCCTTCTCGGAAGGGCCCGCCCGCTCAGCGCCCTGCCCCCCCCCCCCCGCCGGCGCACCGCCAGCGCCTGCGCCCCCCCCCCTCCCGCCCGGCGAGGGGGCGCGCGTCCGGCCGCCGCGGGCACGTCCCTCTACAGGAGGAAGATAGAAAAAAATATGGAAAAAATCTTCTCCTCCTCCTCCTCCTCCTCCTCCTTTCGACTGATGCTGACCATGTTTGCTCTGTCCTCCAGAGCCCGCCTGTGGAGGGGCGTGCCCGAGCCCGCCTGTGGAGGGGCGTGCCCGACCCAACCCTGGGCCGCCGAGCCCACAGGCTCGGTTGTCGGCCTCCGGGCCCCGCGCGGGAGGCCTTGCGCGCAGCTTGTCCTCCCGGGTCTGGGCCCGTGGGTGCGTGGCGGTGGTGGTGGTGGTGGAGCCGGTGCTCCTCCCCTCGCCTCTGCGCCTCCCCCCCGCGTCGCCTCCGCGCTCCTCGTCGACATCAACATCATCACCATCATGGAAGCCATCACCGCATCACCGCCGTCTCCTCCTCCACCTCGTCCTCCTCGTCGTCGTCGTCCTCCTCCTCCTCCTCCTCCTCCTCCTCCCCTCCTCCTCCTCCCACCTCCTCCCTCCCTGCCACCCTCCCTCCCTCCCTCCCTCCCTCCCTCCCTTCCCCTCCTCCCTCCCTCCCCCTCCCTTCCTCCGTACCCCCTCCTCTCCCTCCCTCCCATCCTCCTCCTCCTCCCCTCCACCTCCTCCTCCTCCTCCTTCCTCCTCCTCCTCCTCCTCCTCCCCCGGTTCCCCCTCGCTCTCCATCTTCTCTCTGCACATCGCCGTCCTCGCCTTCGTCTCCGTCTTGGTTTTCGTCTCCGTCTCGGGCTCCCTCCTCCCCTGGGCGCGCCGCAATTCGCTCTCTGCCTCGGGCAGGGGCTCGAATCACCTGGTCGTGCACGCCGCGCAGAAAGAAGGGCAGGAGCGCGGAAGCGCGCGCCGAGTGGTCAGCCAGCGGCGCCGAGGAGCTGCGTGGCCAAGTTCTTCTCCTCCTCCTCGCCCCCCTTTTCCCATTCTCTTTCCCCCCCCTTCCCCCGTCCTGCCCCTGCGCAGCCTTCTCTCCCCGAGCAGCGGCGGAGACCAACGCCATGATTTTTTTATGGCCTCGACCCCAGAGGTTTCGACCCAGGGCTCAGGACTGGCTGCTCATCCCGAGTCGCTTTGTGACGGCCCCGAGGCCTGGCAAGGGCCCGCGAGGCCGAAAATGGCGAAAGACCTCCCGTCGGGATTGTTTCATTGCTCGAGGGGATTTGGGGAGCTCTTCCTCCTCCCCTCGCCCACTAGATTTCCAGGTTTCACCGCCCGCGGCTGGCCCAGGCAGTTTTCTTTTGACTGCCAGCAGGGGGCCACTCCCTGCAGGGAGTGGACGTCGGGCCGGTCTGCTCTGCTCTGCTCTGCTCTGCTCACCCTGCTCTTCCTCTTGCTCCTCCTCCTCCTCCTCCCTCCTCCTCCCTCCTCCTCCTCTGCTCCTCCCTCCTCCTCCCTCCTCCTCCTCCTCCTGCTCCACCTCCCCTCCTCCTCCTCCTCCATTCCTCCTCCTCCTCCCTCCCTCCTCCTCTTCCCTCCTCCTCCTCCTCCTCCTCCTCCTCCTCTCCTCCTCCTTCTCCTCCTCCTCCTCCTCCTCCTCCTCTCTCCTCCTCCTCCTCCTCCCTATCCTCCTCCTCTCCTCTCCTCCCTCCACCTCCTCCTCCTCCTCCCTTCTCCTACTCCTCCTCCTCCCTCCCTCCTCCTCCACCTCCACCTCCTCTTCCTCCTCCTCCTCGTCGTCGTCGTCGTCGTCCTCCTCCTCCTCCTCCATCATCCTCCTCTTTCTCTTCCTCCTCCTCCCTCGTCGTCGTCGTCGTCGTCCTCCTCCTCCTTCTCGTGTTCCCCCCTCCTGCTTCTGCTCCCGCGCGCCCCCCTCTCTCTCTCTCTCTGTTTTTTTGTTGTTCTCTCTCTCTCTCTCTCTGTCTTTCAAAGATCAGCAGCGGAGCGCCAGGTCTGCTGCAGATGTCCGTTCCGCCCCGGCGGACAGGGAGAGCACGGGCACGGAGATCGGGGGCGGCCAAGAGGGGGGTGATGACTTGGGGGGGGGGGGTGAACATCATGGCGGGGGCCACGATCTTAGCCGTCTCGATGCGCCCGTTTTGAGACACAACACGTGCCGTGCTCAAAACGTCCGTGTCAATACATTGCGTGTTTGCTCAGCGTGTTGGCCCACGTTTTGGCGCAAATATCGCGTCAGACCTGCGTCTTCGGTCTACGTGTTGAGCTCCGCGTCAACACGCTATGTGTTGAGTGTTGCGTATCGGGGCAGCTAGCGCTATGATATCCCCAGATTTCATGGCGCCTCTTCTTGTTTCAATGCGTCTCCGACCCCCCCCCTGGGCCGCGCACATGCCGCGGGCCATGTTTTGCGCCCCCCCCCCCCCCCTCTCAGACGCCCCCCTCTTGGACGCCCCCGAGGATACACAAAAGCACACACAGTGTGTGACGTGTGTGCGCTTACGCTGACATGTACATGCGCACGCTCATGCTGATTTACTCGTACTCATCTAGGGAGCGGCCTAACTGATAGCAAACCATGCCCTTCTGTGACGTCCCTTTCGCCACACCCCAAGACGTATGTATGCGGCCAGAGAGAAGCTTGGAAGGCGAGGATGACGTTACGGTAGTTGCTAGTCACGGTAGGGGTCGATTAGGCCGCGCCCGATCATCAGCCTTACACTTGCGCCATGCGCGTGCGCACGCATTCTTCTCTCCCCAGCGGCGATGCAGCATCGGCCCGTCAGCGAATTCCGGGACGCGCAGCCCAAACTTGCCGCACGCTGCGTTCGTAGGCCGCCGCTTTGGCCAACGCCGTGCCCTCTCCGGGGTCTCAGAGGGGGGGCGGGGCCGACGCGGGCCGTGCACGGAGGAGCAGAAGCGAGGCCAAGCCGAGGCGAAGCGTGCATTGCGGACTGCGGTCAAGACGCTGACATGAGGGCCGTTTTGGGATCAGGAGGGGCTCTGCTCTTAGGGCCATTCCTCAGACTCAGGTCAGGGAACCTATGTTCCTGGCCGAGGCTCGCCGTGGCCAGAGAAGCCCCGTTCGCTCCTCTATGAATGGTCCCTGCGGTGGCACGATGACGGTCAGCGCGCACGCGCCGCATCCAGCGAGCTGGGACCAACGAGCGAGCAGTAGATGATCGAACCACCCGCCGAGAGCAAACGCCGAGGTGGCGAGCCTCGACATGAAGGACACGGGCCCCGAGGGAAACGGGTCCGGCCTGCGCCCTTGGGCGCCTGGGGGCCCTTCCCGTGCCCCGGGACCCTTGACCACCAGCGGCCCAGGCGGAAGGAGGGAGGAAGAGCCGATCGCGAGCTGGAGCAGCCTCGTCCCCGCCCCCCCCCACGCCCCCCCCCCGTCCCCCCGCGGCCGCTCCGCCCCGGCCGGCGCAGCGGTGCCGAGGGCCGCCCTCTGCCATGGAGTCTGGGCGGCTCCGCCGCGCCCCGCCGGCTGCCAGGCTTCGCAGAAGAGCAAACGGCACGAACACAAACTCTTGGCGCTCCACGCGGACTTCTTGGGTCCGCGCTGGGCCCCCCCCCCGGGGGCGCCTCCCTGCGCCGCCCCTGGCGCGCTCCGCGCACCAGGCAGGGCGGTCCGGCGCGGATCCCAGAAATCCGCGCGGAGCGCCAAACGTTTACGTATGTTTTATGCCGTGCTGCCTGCTTCTAAGGCTGCTCCTCCTGCTGCCCCTCGTCTCCGAGGGGACGGCCAACTGCGGCGGCCACGACGCGCCGGACCTCACACCACCCACCGAGCCGCCCCAACCCAACCCGAAGGCCCAAGGCCCCAATTTGC